GGGCGGGCGGGCGGGGCCGGGGCGCAGGTGGACCCCGCGCCGTGCTCCTCACCTGGGAGCCGGCTCACACCCAGGGCGGGCTTCGAAGGAACCCTTTGCTCAGCCTCGCCTTCATCCCAAGGTGCAAAACTCAGAGACCCCCCCCTCTGAACGAGGTCCCATCACCTTGGGCTTTCTTAGGGGAGAGGGCGGTGGCTCTTGGCACGTCTGCTGGGGGGTAGCCCAACTTGCTGGATTCTCTCTGGGTCACGGCGTGTACTGGGAGCAGGATGCTTGGTGGACATTAAGTTTGTGTTAATGAGTGTCAGGGACACGTGATGCCTCCCTTACCTGATCTCCACATGGGTGGCTTTTCCCTAAAGAAAAGCTTTCGGAAGATCAGGGGAGAGGAGAAGACTTCTTCTTTTTCCTAATTATCTCCTTGGTAGTAAAATTCAGGTGAATCAGGAAACGTTTACTGAATAAAATCTCAGGGTCTGAGGGCCAAAGGGTGTCCTCTCTGGTGCTGTGGACATCCTGATTAGGCTCAGAACGTTCCTGGGAAGGAGGCCGGGCATGTGCATCCTCCTCTCCGTAGGAGAACACGGAGGCTGAGAGAGAGGTCAGCTGATTGCCCCTTAAGGCCCTTTGTGGCTGAGAAAGTTCCCTGGCCTTGTTAACAGCTAGAGGGTGGTCACTGGTCACTGTCTTCACCATGTGCCAGGGGCTCGTCAAGCCTTTTAGATGCCTTCATGCCCTCACATACCACACAAGAGCCCTAGCCTGAGACGGTAGCTTCAGTTATTATCCCATTTTATGTGTGAAGAAACTGAGGCATAGAGAAAGGAAATAAGTCACATCTGTGGTGGAGATCGGATTCAAACCCAAGCCTGCCTGTCTCCAGGGCCCTGCTCTTTAATGGCTAAGGGCAGCCCTTCCACCGTATCTCACATGCTTTTCATTTAAACATTTGTGAGATTGAAGTCTAGCTTATGAGGGGCCTAGAGCATGGAGCCATGATGGTGTAGAAATGACTGAGGACTCCAGTGGTTCCTCTGAGAAACGTTCAGCAAAAACCTGTGTCCAGCAAGTAGCTTACTTGCTCCTCCTGAGTCTCAGACCCCACCCCAGAGGGAGGGAATCAATCCCAGGTGGTTCCAGTGCACAGAAAGTTTGCAAAGGGTTGGCTTAGCCCATCCCCCAGCTGGTTCCCTCAGCTGGCATTGAGGACTTCAGGAGAGCCAATAAAAAGCGGGGGTATTGGAATCACCTTGCAGGGCCCGGCTTGTAGGAATTCAACAAATATTTGCTGTGTGAACGAAGGAGTTGGCAGGCTCCCCTGCTCCAGCAGGGCGAATGAAAGCTAAAATGACAGAGAGAGGGCTTCTCCCCTGGGAGATGTGGGTGTGGCCCAGGCGTTGCCTCCCGTTTCAGATTTGTGATCAGTAAGTTCCATGGTCCACACTTTTTCTGAAAATAGGAAAATGAAAGAAAAATTGTAAATGGCCCACAATCCTATCGCTAGAAATAACCACTGTTGATATGTTGGCATGTATACTATTCGATTTCAATACATTTTTTGGAAAAAAAAAAAGGAAAAAACGTGTAAGAAAAATTATCCTTATTACTACTATAGCTGAGATTTTATTTTTGACCAAGCTCTATGTACACGTGTTTTAAAGAGTCCTACAGGGAGAAATAGCAGTTCCCCCACCATCTCCATACCTAGAGGTACCCACAGTCACTGACTCTACCTTAGTTGTTTAAAACTCACAGGAAACTAAGAGACAGCAGGTATCCTATCAAGGTCATCCTCATGACCAGCCACCTCTACCTGCCTTGCTCACCTGGGTGCAGCTGGGGGCCTGGAGTCTCCTGCACATAACCCTTTCCCTCTCTCCTGGGTTGGATCCCCTCCTCCCCATGACCAGTGTCCTTCTCTGTCTTGACTTACTCCCATGGAGGGAACACCAGCCTCTGCTAGTTTCCTAAGAAAGGATGCGTGTGTAAACTGAGATTTGCATCTTTCGAAATGTCTTGATTCCACTGTTACACATAATGAATAGTTTGACTTCGTAAAGAAAGGTTGGAAATTGTTTTCCTTCAGAATTTTGAAAGTATTCCTCTATTAACATCTAGCCATTCTGATTCTTTTTTTTTTTTGCTTTTTTTTTATTAAAGTATAGTCAGTTTACAATGTTGTGTCAATTTCTGGTATACGGTATAATGCTTCAGTCATACATGAATATACATGTTTGTTTTCATATTCTTTTTCACCATA